GGCAGAGTCGAGCAGGAAACCTCGGGCACAGGGCTGACCTTGTTCAAGCTCCCCCTCCCAATTAAAACAGCAGCATCGCACCTCTGCTCGCAGGCAGCGTTAAGCAATATTTGCTTTTTCTGGGCATTTAATCTGTTGGGTGCTAATGCCTGGGGAAGAAACAAGGGCGGCTGAGCCTGACCTCCCCAGGCATCAACACCTCTCCCCTCACCTGCTCCATCACTCCCATCCCACCTGCAGATTTTCAGCTTGCACCTGGTGCGAGGCTCTCATAGCCAGCAGCCGGGACATCAAGGCCTTTCCCTGCCAACAGCGATAGCACTCGTGGCTTTTCATCCTGCCCCGTAGCACTAGAAAGGAAATTAAAAGGGCGATAAGGGAGCTCTTTCATCAGACGAAGGAATATTCTGTGCTATCGGCGAGATAAACCAGTATTTCTTCCAGCTCTGGCAAAGGCTCAGGAATGAGACGTGGGGAGAAATCATACATTTATAGAGATTTATAACTCTTACCTGCCACTCCTGGGCTGCAGCTTAACCATCGCCCTCTCTCGCATTTCCTCAGTGAGGGAGGTCAGTGCTGCGGGACAAAAGGAGAGACAGAGGCTATAAAGAGGAGAAGCTGGATCAGCTCCAGTACTTCAGGGTAATTTTATGGCTTCACTGGCCCAGCTCAGCTGCCGGGTGATGGCCGTTACCTTTCAGGTGCCTTTCTAACGCCCCTCTGGGCCCAGCAGCTCCCAGAGAGACAAACCAGCACGAGCTCACCAGCTCCACGACCTGCTCGGCGCACAGAGGGTTTGCACAGGGAAGAGCTGGGCGATCCCGTGCAGCTGGACTTGATCCATCCACGTCTCGTCCACTGGCCCCAGGGTGGGCGACCAGCCCCTGTACGATGCTCCCCTATAGCTATAGGGGCGCTGATGCCCAGCAGGGGCAGGGAGCAGGAGGGAGAGGTGCATAAAGGGGCCTGGCTCAGTGCCACAGCCTGCCCTCCGTGACGAGGCACCCCAAATTGCCCAGCCCTGCTCCTGCAGTGAATTAGCACATCTCCCCCATGCGCCCCGAGTCGTGAGTGTGGTGCAGCCCCCCCCTCCCAAAAAGGGCTGCTGCACCCTGTCCCACAGAGCCAGCACTGTGCGCAGGACCCAGCTCGATGCAGAGCCACCACGCACCCCACCTTCGTCTGGGGGTCCCCAGCCTTCACTGGGGGATGCCCAGTGGGAAGAAGAAGGGGAGCAAGGATGTCCCATGCAGGGAAGGAGAGCAGTGTCTCCTCCAGCTCTGAGAAATCAAGGATTTTGGCCTGTAACCCTCCTCCTAGCCACATGGGCGAGGGTGGGATGCTGCAGGATGCACAGGATCAGCCCCACACCCTGCCTGAGCTCAGCACCCATATCCACATCCAGTCCCAGACCGGCTCCCCAGGCCAGTTGCATGACCATAGGGACGTCCCAAAGCATCACCAAATTCCCAGGAAAAGGCCAATGAACGAGTGAAGGTTTCTTTGCATCTTCAGTGGCGCCAAGGCCTCACGTCTCGCTTGGTGGTGGGTGAAAAGGAGAAGAAATCCTCCCGTGCCGGTAACTGCCACGAGCAAAGTGACTACCGGCTGCTCGAGAGCGAAGCCCAGGGCAGATGCTCTCGCTGCATTAGAAGAGAAGAAAGCTCTCCCTTAAACACGAGCAAAACCAGAGCTGCAGACGCGGCCCGGGGTGTGCACGGCGAAGGCTTGGCAGCAGCAGTTCATAAGGAGCCCTCAATTAGCGACAGAGCAGTTTAGCTTCAGGGGAAATCTTAACATTAAAATTGTCGCATCGCTTGAAATGGAGCGTCTCAACAAGCTGCTGCCCCCAGCCAAGCGGGGTTGGCAGAGCAGCTTAGGCGGCTTGACCCGCTTATCCCAACCCCCAACGGCCCTTTCGCCTCCCCCATCCCTGGAGCAGCCGCTGAACCAGGACCCTCTGGCGTTGCAGGAATTCCTGTTAAAATGCACAGCCCTTCTCCGGCTCATCCTCACCTGGGGAAACGTGGTGGAACATTAAATCTGTGTTCTTAATTTGCGTTTATTTGCACAGAAAAGCAAAGGCATCACCCAATGGTGCTGGGGGTTACCTGTGACTGTGTGCAAGCCAGCGGTGTCCAACCTCCACCCATCTCTCCTCTCTGCACCCAGGACCAGCATGGTGTGACCCCACGTGCTGCCAAAAACACGGCGTTTCCCACACTCAACCCCAGGAAAAAAACAGATTTCAGGAAAGTTACATTCAGAGACTAGATTTCTCGGGGGGTTTTCCACCTCTCACCTTCAATTAAAGCATATTATTTTCATTATCATGTTTAACTATACAATATGGAATGTATTATTTAATTAGCATTAGCCCGTAGTTAAATGGTCTCGGCGTGCGAGGGCACGTGGGTGTCTTCAGGAGTCCTGCTCACTTTCCCCGACAGCTCTGGCTATTCCTAACGGCACCCTTTGCAATTCCAGCAGCAGATCCCATCATTTCTCATCAAACAAACCCAACCTACAGACACCGTATTTTATTGACCAACTGCCTTCAAGCCACCCGACTTGTGACTGAGGATGATGAGGGCAACTCCGGGGTTCTGCGGGCGACGAAGCCTCCTGCCAGGTGGGCGAGAGGTGGGTGGGTGTGCGAGGCCACGGCCGAAGCCCTCCCCACTCCTCCCATCCCCCGCTGGCATCGGGCCGGGCTTTTCCCCCCGTTTATGAGCATTTTGATGAGCTGTCGCTGGGCAGCGGCTCAGTCGCTCATTTCCCCGCCGCAGGGCGAGGGCACATGGTGGCCGGGCTCCCTCACGCAGCCTCAGCAGCCCCTGCCCGGCACCCCGGGACTCGGGGGGACCCCCTGGCACCGCTCCCCCACGACGTCACCCAACAGCAGCCCCCAAAGCCCGGCCGGAGCTGCTGGCCCAGCCAAAACCCCGCAGAGCCCTGCGGTTACTCCCCGCCGCCGCGGCCCCGGGGCTTCCTCCGAGCAGGAGGTTCTCCCCTCGCCCCTTTCCTTGGCCTTTTTTAGTTAATTTTATTGACTTGCCCCCCTGCAGGTGCCGCGGAGGCATCACGGGGCCCTCGAAGCCCTCCCGCAGCCAGGGCCCAGGCTCCCGACTCAGATGCCTTCACGACTGCGGGATTATCCCAAATCTAAAACCCAAACCCAAACCACCCCCTGAGCAAAGAACAAATAAGTCTTTTTTCCTTGCTTGGAAGTGGGTTTTGCTTTCCTGATTTTCCTCGCAAGCCCAAGGAGGAGAGGTCTCAGCGCCAGCCCCCTCCAGCCCCCCCGGCATGGCAGACAGAAAGGCCAAACTCCTTTTAAAGCACTTTTTTTTTCTTTTTTTTATTGATTTCATTGAAAACAGAACAAGAAAATGATCAGAGCCAAAAGACTGCTCCTTTAAAACTGTCGAAAACATTAACAGAAAAAAAATAATAATAATAAACATGACGGCATTATGAATGTTCTAGAAGAGATGAACAAAAAAACCTGTTACTGCACTAATTACAGTATTTAAAGATATATGCAAAAAAAAAAAATTAAGATAATGACCTGCCCAGCCACCACACAAAAGGTGATGGCAAATTTATTCACACTACAATACTAACAATTTAAAAAACGTTTTGTTTTTTTCCTGCATTTTTATACTAAAATCACTTTGTTCTTTTTATACAATTGATAGTTTATATTCACGTGGTGAGCAAAAATCACACCAGAATCAGCACCGTTTTGTTTTGTGGTTTCTTTGTGTTGTCGTTTTTTTGTTTTGTTTTTTTCTCTTTTTGTGGTTTTTTTTCTTTTTCTTTTTAATGCTAGTCCCCAATGTTTCAGTAATGGTAAAAAATAAATCAGTTTATTGAAACCTCATAGCGTGTGGCTTAAAAATTAATCGAAGGTGCCCAGCGTTGAGAAAAGTGATGGGAACAGACGAGCTGGTGGCATCTGGGATCTTCTCGCCGTGACATGTCCTGTCTGCTGTGTGCCCCAGCCGGCGGACGCAAGTTGAGGTTCTCTATAATATATATATCATTCACTTTATTTTTAAAAAAAGAAAAAACTGATTTTCTTAAGAAGTTAGTGTCTTGTACAATCCCCTTCAACCTTCCCTCTCTAAAACGGCTAATGCGACGGGGCGAGGGAAATCCTTCCACGGGTGAACTGAACACTGAGACAGTAACACAGCCAAGCGGCGCAGACGAGAGCTGGTTTGTAAAGGAGAAAGCCCGGGAGGGAGCAGGGCCTCGGGGGAAGTGTCTCTGGACGGCTCGGGAGAGAGCCAGGGACCAAAGGGATTGTAAGGACTCTGGGTTTCTTCTCAGCGGAAGAGAAAAAAGCCGGTGGGTTTGGTAACAAGGAGGGCATCTGTTAGAAATGCCCTCTAGCTCCTAGGGAAGGGCCCCACCGCAACGTCCTGCGAGATGTGGGAGAAATTAATGATTAAAAAAAAAAAAAAACCCAAAAAACAAACAACCCAAAAACCGAACAAACCAACAAAAACCAACCAGCAGAACCTGCCCCGGGGCTGTGCCAAGCAAACCCAAACGCCAGCACCTCCCTCTCCCCTCCCCACTCCCCCCCTGGCTTTTAGAAAGAAAGTCCCATCAAGTATTCAAAGTTTATTACAAGTGAACTGGAGATGACTTGGCATGAGCGATCCATTCAATCAACAACAGTCGGCGGACGGGCGGCTCTCCCTCGGCTCTGACAACACTCAGCACATTAAGAGACGGAGGCCAGCACAGCTTGCATGGAAAAAACAACGCAACAGCCACCCCTCCACACGCAACTGTGAAAACCAGCAGCTTTCCAGGACCGGGGAGGGGAGAACAACATCACGGAGGTGGGATTTGCTTTTACTTATTCCTCAAGTAACAGTCGGTGGCACAGCCCTAAGTGTCACGAACCCTTGGCTTTCCTTGAGAGCGGTTTTGTTTTTTGTTTTGTTTTCTTTTTTTTTTCTTTTTTTTTTTTTTTTTTCCTCTTTAAATGGAAATTCGAACAGTATGCGAATCTATAGGGTTAAAACGAGTCAGTCTCTGGGGAGCGGAGCCTCAAAAGGGGCCGGCTGCCGTGGCAGAGCTGGTGTCGGGGAGCCCGTTTTCCTGCGTGTCCTGGGACGAGGTGCTCGCCTGCCGCTGGGCCAGCGCTGAGCTCGAGTGTTTGCACTTGGGTGAACCGCACTGACAGCTGAAGTATTTGCCTTTGATGTCCCAGAACCTGTCCCCGTAGTCAAAGCTGCAAGAGAGAGACAGAGCCGGGGTCACCGCAAAGCAGAACACGCAGAGCAAGACGCCAGGGTCAGCAACACCGGGTGCTGCCACAATTTGGGTTGTTCCAAAGCTCCAGGGGATGGACTGTGCTTGCAGGATCCCCAGGGGCCTCTGGGGACACGCCCCTGAGAGCAAAGGGACGGAGTGAACCAGCTCGGGAGCGGCAGAGCGTTTGTCCCTCTGCGCTCCGTCCTTCCCCCAGCGAGGCGGCGGCTCCCCGCGGGAAGGCACCTACCCGATTTCTTCTCCGGCTTCTATGTGCCTCGTGCTGAAGAAGGCGATCCTGGGAAAGCGGAGGTCCTGATGGGACATGAAGACCCGCACGGGGATGAGGTTTGGCTCACAGAGGTGGTTTATAAAGCGGCTGATGTTGCCATAGAAACGGGCATCTATGCAGTACACCTCTCCGTCCTGGAGGAGAAACGCACCTTCCATTACATGAGGTTGGGGTTCGTATTGTTACTGCTACTTGTCCAAATAGAACAAATGACCAAACTACTGGTCGTTCCACCAACACTCTGGAGAGCTTCAAGAAGAACAGCCAGGGCAGGACAACCACTGCGGGTTTAAAGGGACTAAACACACACAGGTTTATACTCAACAGCACCCAGAAAATAGAGTTTTCTGACAGCACTCTGCCCCACAAGCCCAAAGACCTTTTAAAATGCCCCTGCCACTGGCTGGCATGTCAGCTCTCCCCAGCCCTGCTCTGCTAAAGCATCAGCTTGGTCAAGTGGGATTGATGCTTGGTGCAGACAGACACCTTATGGGTAAAAGCTCCTGAACAGGGGAACAGGCATCTGCTCTGTCCTCTAATTGAACACGACAGCTAGGAAACACAAAGCCAGAGCCTTGAGAAAACACAGGTTTTTGCAGATAAAAGCGTAAGTCAGAACACAGAAACTCCCTTTCCAGAGAGCCCGAAGAGCAGTAATATTTTGTTTTCCTTGAAAATAAAAGAACCCCCCTCAGGGCTCTTTTATTCCAGCAGAGAATGACTCTGCAAAGCAGAGACTTTAATTACAGAAGCTAATTTCAGTTGCAAAGAGGCCAAAAGCAAAAGGATCCATTAGCGGTGCTCCAACTCCCTTTTGGGCAAGCACCTCGCAATCGTTAATGGATGAGCTGTGCCAGATCACACCACCCGACTGCTGCAGGAGCCCAGGGAAGATGTCCTGACAACCGGGGGAGGTGTCACCCCACATGGTCCCACACCACGGACAGTGTTACCAGCTCTAATTTCAAGTAATTCCCACCACCCCCTCACTCTCATCCGTGGAAATGGATTGGTGAGGACAACATCACCCACGACCACATCTAGTGACCACCTGGAAAGATCTGAGCTCTCCACCACGCAAGTCAGGATGTGTTTCCTTAGAAAGGAGCTGCTGCCTTGACCAACACAGGCAGTGTCCTCACTGTGAGGCTGCTGAGGAGGACAAGTCCCAAAGCAAACTGCTTCCCACCTTGCTAAGAGGGTATCAGGAACTAAAGAGTCTCATGGTGGCAATCAGAGAGGAGAACCTGCTCTGGGGCGAGATGAGTCTCCTTCTCAAGAGTGCGAAGGCACTGGGGGGTTTCTCAGAAGGGAGGATGCCCAGAGAAAGCCCTTCTCGCCTGCAGGCAGGCAGGAGTCACACAGATGCGGCAGCGTGCAGCCCCCATCGCTGCCTCTCCTCGATGGAGCGCAGCAGGGCCAAGCCTGGGAGCAAGGACTGCAGAGGACGGGCCCGTGCATGGGAAAGGGGTGGCTTCCACGAATAGAAAGCAACCACAGCAGCTACAACAACCTCCTCTTTCTCATCAAGAGCACATTTTTTTCCAGCTCTCTAGTAGAGAGACAAGAAAACCAGCCCTTCAACCAGCGGAAGCTGAGAGCAGCTCTTGTGCTGTGTCTTCAGCAGTGGCAGCAAGTTTTGGCCGTTTGACGCCTGCCCTCTTTGAGACGTGGAGTGGGATGTGACTGCAGGACCTGCCACGCTGAACGGTTCACTGTGACAACTCGAGGAATGGGGGACAAGAGAAAAGACAACCCAACCACTCTCACTACAGCCCCAGCCCATTCAGGCCACTCCTTCGAGACACACCAGGACCCCAAGGCTGCCCCTCCCAGGGCTGGGGTTCACACCCTTGGTCATTTCCCATCACTCAGGAGGTCACAGGGCCCTCCTCCACCCAGCCCGATGGGCTTCTTTCAATGATCACTCAGTGACTTGGTGCCTGCCTTTCTACAGATGCTCCACTTTGAAGATACCCTTAAAAAAGACGACGCTTATGCCTGTACTTAGGTCTCCCTCCCTGCTTCACTGAAGGCTTCCTAAGAGCCAACGCAGAGGTTCTCCCTCAAGGCAGCAGCCAGGGGCTAACCTGAAGGCAAGGCAAGGCCCAGGTGGGCTCTTGCTCACAAACACAAAAACCACGCTGAAGTCTCTCTTGCTTTTCAACTTCTTAATTACAGTTTGACCCCACTGTTTGCAGACTGACTACAAGACTCATTACTTATCTTTTTTTCAGTTGTTGAATGTGTGTTGCTTTTTTAAAAAAAAAAAAAGGCAAAAAAATAAAGCAAAGCTTCTTTGTCATTAGCTGATGACAGAAACAAGACAGAGACTGTTTTACAGCCTTCCTTGGAAGCCACCCCACTCGTCTGAGTCCCCAGCTCACCTTTCTCCTCTTCTCCTTTCCCAAGGAAAGCCTGAAGTGAGGGCTTTGCTTAAAAGCTTTAGATCGCACTTTTCAAAGCAAGATTTCTGCTCTGAGACAGCCCTCAGCGGAGCAGCACAGGATAAGCACCAGCAGAACAAGCCTCAAGTCCCTGCCAAGGTATCTGACCGATCCCTTTATAAGCAAACGGGTGTTGTATTTTTTTTCCTCGGTCTTCCAGCTCATCTTTTTATGAAGAACTTACAAAGCTGCCAACCGACACAGCAGCAAGCCTGCAGATACACACTTGAGAATCAAAAACCCAACAACTGAACTGAGGATGCCCGAATGGTTTTGAGAGAAGAGCATCTTGCATCAAAACAGGGGTGGGCAGCACGTACCCACATAATGTAACCCACGTTACCATCCTAACAAGCCCTAAGCCTTACCTCAACCACGCTATATTCTGACTAAAACGAGTCCTCCTCTTTGCAGGCTTTCAGATCGTGCTGTACATTGAGATGGAGACAAATACACTCATTGCTCTTTGGGTGAGGGAAGACCTTGGGTTGGTCTTGTTAGACACCTTCAGATACAGTACCTTGTTGTCAAGGTCGAAGAGGTAGGAGTCCTCTTCACGGACGTCTGCCTCGGAATCGGATATCAGCTCACCAACGTACCTGGGGACAGACAGAAATCAGATGCTCACGCAGTCACAAGCCTGTGTTTAAACACCCCTTTCTGGGAAGGGGGAAAGAAAGGGATACAGCCCAGCCACCGATGGCAACCCACAGCATTAGTGGTGCAGGTCATCTCGGAGCCACCCAGGCAAACTGAGCTTTGCCAACTCACAGCAGCTACAATCTGGCTCCAAACTCCATCTTTTCAGGGCAACACTTTTAATATTAAAAATGGAGTCTTACTTCCAACAAAATACACTTTTTCCTGAGGACTCTGTTTCCTTTTGCAAATCTCTTTATTGGCCAAGATCAACACATTAATCCAAGTCTCCTTATGTTCACGGTCAGACTCACACCCTGGCTATCCTACACACCACTGCAGTGCTTGTGCTGTTTACATTCCCAAAGCAAAATGTTTGTGTCTGTCCTTCCTGTATTTCTAAGGTATTCTGACCAATTACACAGGCTACATACCTTAAAAAGTATTGTTTTAAAATTCTTAGGTCTAACCTAAGCCCTGGAAGGATCTAGGCTTCTTTCTCAATCCCTCTCGAATCAGAGTAGATCAGAGCTGTGATCCCAGTAACAACCACCTTACTGTAAAACCAGGTGCAAGGCAGATTACACCAAGGAAGCATGTGCTGAGAAGGACTAAATACACACACCACCTTCCACTCCAGACAGATGACGGTTTTGATGCAAACCCCTTGTTGCAGGAGCCCCCACTGCACTGGTGTTCCCACATTTGTCTCCCCATCTCCAACTTAAACAGTTTTGGACTGTCAGATTTCAATGCTTCCTGCCCCGACCTGCTGCAATCAAAGTAAGGGACACAAGAGGAGAGGTGCTGAGCCAGAGGGAGGATACAAGGAAGAAGCAACAGCACAGTACATTCTGGTATGTAAATCTCCCCAGCCTGCAATGCCACGCTAATTAATTATAAGCAAAGGATTCACAAAACAAATAAATATTCTTTGTGGCATCAACAGACTTCCATGATCAGCAGCCATTATCACAGCATTCCTCTGCAGCTCTCAAGGCATTTTCAAAGCGTGAACCAACCACATCCATTTCCCCCTGCGGCTCAAGGCAGCATTTCACTGCAGGGCTGGGGAAGAGGAGAGCCACGAAACATCAACCAGGAGAGGATCCACACGCTCCGCGACAAGGGATCGTTTGGCCGCAGCTCCCAAAGCTGAGCGATCCGGCCAAGCTGCTCTGCCAGAGCAGGAGGCTGCCGCCGCGTGGGACCCTCCCGTTTGCCCCCACCGCGTCTTGTTCTGGAGGAAAGGCTCCCGTGAGGCTGCGGCATTACTGGGGATCACTGGCTCGTGGGTGACCTGAAGCGACAGGAAGAGGGTGGCCAGAGGGGGAGAGGAATTGCTGTAGCACGGCCCAGGAGCCAGCAGCAGCTGAGACACAGCTGAATAATGCTGCACGGAGAGGCACTCTGCTCAGGGACAGCCACTTCAGGTTTACAACTCAGTGAAACAAAAACCCCACAATCTAATCAAAAATGGTTGTTTCAATGTTCCTTTAAAGACTATTTCTGTAGCAATCTCCTTTCTATGATGGCTACAGATCCAAACGGTTCCCTAATTCCAAAGTCCAAAGTTCTGGAAGGATGTGCAAGAGGTACATGTTCCTACCCAAAAAAGAGCAGGAGCATCAGCCCCTTCATTTAAGAGCTCCCGAAGTCAAGCCAGCATGTTTCTTCTCAGCGAGATGCTCGGCACGCTGGCGGCAAGTAACCACATCTCAGAGCTTTACACTGCCACTCATCATCGTGAGATCAGAGCAAAATCCATGCAAAAATCAAGAGCAACAAGAAGGCCCTAGCACAGGCTCCGGCATTTTCCACAGGGCGTGGGAGATGGGATGCCTGGGGCTTCTCATGCTGCAGGTGTGGCTAAAATACCTGGCTCGATGCAGATGGTATCTTACTAGAGCATCGCTGTTTTGTACAGAAATGAAGTGTTTGAAAACCACGCAATAGATGTGCCCCGAAAGGAACGGACCAGATCCTCACCAGCCTCTGCCTTCTGCATCCCACTAACTCACAGCCTCTCCAATAAAAGCCCTCAACCAGCTGTGCCATTTCCAGAACGAGCAGTTACACCATCTACCAACCAAGCACCAACAGAGCAGATTCAAAACAACCCACAGCAACGTCAGCACAGGGTGAGCGACAGCAGCTTCCGAGCAGTGACAGATTCGGAGGTCAGGGAGACACCCACACTGAGCACACAGGTCTCCTGAGGAGGGGCAGAGCCTAAAAACTCCCTGGGAGCCTGGCAGGATGATGCTGCTGCATCTCCCCTCGCTAAGCTGATGGTTCCAGGATTGCGCTGAAGGTACCAGAGGTTCTCAGTAGGAGGGTCTGGAGCAGCTGAAGGGTCTAGGGAGCCCTGGAGATGACAGCAGGAGGGCTGGCTGGCCGCTGCGCTGGCGGAGCCTCGCTCCCCGCTGCCAAACTGCTCTGAGCGCTGCTAAACACACCCTGCAGAAGCTGCTGTGAGCTGCCAGAGGGACAGCTAGCAAGCAGAAACGGAAAGGGAAAACCATTTTTGGAGTGATTACAGAGAAAAGTTGAAAGGTATCTGAAGTACGAAGCAGGCTGTGTGTAAGAAAGGCATTTACACACAGAAACAGGCAGGACCAGCAGAGTTTCGCAAAATAAAAGTGTTGTGAGAACTATTCCAGATTTGCCCTCAATGCGGGTGTATGTGAAAAACTAAAGGTCACCCTTACACCAGTGCAATGCTCATCCTTCCCAAGCAGAGTAATAAACCCTGCACAAAGCGACTCCCCCTCACGGCTCTAATCCAGACATTTAATGCAAAATGCTCTTCCAGAAGAGCCGACCCCAGGAGCTGCTGTGTGCAAGCAGCCCCTGAGCACTGCTGGCACTGGGGCTTCTTTGCCAGAGATGAAGAAGAAAACAAGTCTATAGGTTGCCCATAAGGAATTCCGGGAAGGACATCGGTGCAGCTGGCTTGAGGAGAAGAGGAGGACTGCGAGTGGGTGAGCTGAGTAAGTAACATGTGTGTGCGAGAGTGACGGAGACAAGGAGGAACGTGCATGGGCAAGATATAAATTAGCTCAGTTTCTTAGTATGCAGCTCATTTAGATAATGAAGATAGCGCCTACCACTGAAACAGCGGCAGCAGCTCCTGGCAGGGGTGGAGGAAGAGTTACGCATGGTTGTGGTATCTGCACCCTATCAGCTCTGATGGGCTCTACAACCCCGTCACGCAGGGCTGTCCCGTTTCCTTGGGCCGCCTGTTTGCCACTGCTTACTCCTCTTGCGTGTCAGCATTCCAGTGGGATGTGGTAAAGTCAGTGCCTTTTCTCTTTGGGAGCAGTTTACTCGCAGGCGCTGGCTCAGCTCTGGGCACGGGGACACGGGGACCTTTGGTACGTAACAGAAAGCCCCACCTGACGACACTCCCCACAAACAGCAGTTCTAAGCTTTACCTCTGTAAAAACACTTTATCACGAGGCAGCTCCTAACACGGAAGAGATACTCGGCCGATTCACTGCAGATTTTTCTTTCTTCTCTTTTCTTTTTTTTTAAATTCTACAATAATCTTCCTCAATCCCTCACCCCAATTCTATAAAACATCAATAACTAGTTCTAAAACACCCCAGCACCTATTTCCACAAAGGGCACAAGTCCAGCCTTATTTAGAAGGTCTTAAGTCACTGTAGTATTGCAATGAAGAAAACACTTCCCAAAATATTTAATAAAGTACATATACCACTTTAAAGCCTAAAAACCGTGGGGTTCGATGGCAGTTTTTTCACTTGACATAAATCTGAACTTTTTTGTTCTTAAGTACTTTATTGAATCAGGGCCGAAACACGTGCTTAACGCCAAGTGCTCTACTGTTTTGCTGAATCAGACTAAAGCCAGAGCTGTGACACTGGAAAACCTCTTGAGAAGTCAGTATTGAAACAGAAAAACATCCAATATAAAAAAGTTGTTCCAAGTTGCCTTGGCCTTATGTGTCCTGTATCCACAGTGAACCCATGAGTTGAGCGCATTTGCAGCACAACCCAAACGCATTTTTCCCCCATCGCTCGTCTTTCAGAGGACTAAGAGAGCCGAGCACAGAACCCAGCAAGACAGAGAAGGGCAGAAAAAGCTCCACGCTATGAGGAAAAGGACAAACAGAGGAAAATATGGAGTCAGGAAACCTCTAACTGAGGGCAAGCAGCTCGGCTCGATGCCAATTTGATTTGCGTGAAAACCTCTCCTTAAAGAGCAGCAAACCATCCCGGCCCTTGGGAAGCGATGCATTTGCGTGAGCTAATGAAAGCTGAATAACTTACTCGCACACAAAGGTTCCCGGTGGAATGTCTTGCATTGTTCGCACACCCCAACCCATCTTTTGTGTCCGATAAAGCTGCAATCGAGTCCTGGGAAAGAGGAAAGGAAGCAACATTAACGGCAGCGCTCCGCAGAAAGACCGTGACTTTTCAGAGAGAGGAGCAGAACAGCCAGCAGCCTTCCACAAGCAGAAACTCAAAGATTATTTCGATAGTCAGCCCCCCCAGTTCTCCCGCTGGCACCACTGTGGGGACGCTCCACTCCCACCGGCGCTCTGAGGGTGTGGGCAGGTGCTCGGATGGGAACTGCCTGGGGACAAGGGACAGGCGCCCATCAGCCCCTTCCCCCTGCCCAACTGCACCTTGCAGGGTGCACAGCGAGGGCCTGGGGAAGAGGGTGTGGGACTGGCTGCTCTGTGTGGTTACACCGTTGATGATCAACACGTAGGATACCAGAATCCCACCCATCAGCACCTCTCTTCCCTTCCACACACACACTCCACATTTGGGGGAGGGCAGGAAGGTGGAAGGGGACTTCAGGCAGCGTAGCTCTGCAGGGAGGGGTGCTGCAGGGGGAAGGCAGGGAGCTGACGGTGAGTTAAGAACACCTCGAGCTAAGTGCTCTGATCCCTTTGCCCTCCGCTGAGGCCAGTGCATTTAGCAACTCCATCATACCCAGCTCCCTGGCTGAAAGACAAGGAAGAAACGCTGCAACTTGAAACTTCTCGGTGTAATAGCTGCTCTGTGGAATTTTACTGATGGAGTTTATAGGCAGACAAACAAGCCTGTAAGTCATTCTGCCTCCTGCTCAGCCAGAACTTGAGTTAAGTGCAGGATGAACAGTCTCCAGGGCTAGGGAAGGCTCGCTCTGCCCCCGAGGGAACCAAAACCCACTCTCAGCAATGCTGTTATCGGAACAGAGAGAAATCTGATGCTCACCTTAACTTCACCCTGTTGCTTTTTCCAGTACTTCTCTTCCCCCCACCCATTCCCTCCTTGCACCGTCAGCTCAAACCAGGGGCTGTGCATTTTCTTGTCTTTGATCACAACCGCTGGAGCCTTCACCAGGGCAAAACACGACTTTGTGAGAACGACCGTTCTCAGAGAAGCCAGTTATAACACTGAGGCCTGAGGAAGCTGCCCCAGGTTTTGCCTCATCCATCACAGCAGAGCACAGAGCCAAGCTCAGGTTCAGGCTCTGCCGTCGGGGCTGACACCGGCAGCAGCAGGACCGTGGCTCCGATCTCAGCATCCCAGCTGAGCTGGGTCAGCCTGCCAGATGGAAACGCGTGCGCTGCCGAGCGGAGATAATTTGGAGCAAATCTGATAAAGGAAGCACTGAAAACGGAGCACCCACGTGTCACGCTGCAGCCCAAAGGCAGGAGGTTTCCTCCGCTGCCTCCTCAGGGACCTCAAGCACAGCTCCGCTGAGCACCTGACCTGACCGACAGAGCCGCTCTCCCAGGCTCACGGTTGGGTTTCCAACCCCTCCAGTCTTTCAGAAAAACACTTTAGCAAGGCAAAAATGCAAAAGCAACAGCTCTAGCTGTACAGCTCCTAAATAAACACCCACGTAGACACCGGAGTTTGGGAGCTTGGCAGGGAAAACCAGAGAGAGAGAAAGTTCTGTGGAAACACATCGAGCTTTTTCCTTACTTCTTTTTAACACTGCAAAATGTCATTGAAACTACAAAGCTTGCAAAAAAAGTGTTGTCAGTACTACAAAAAATTTGCAAAAGTCTTTTTTCCAGTGGGACTCCTTTGAACTTAGTGCAGTGGCAAACTTGTCCAGAGCAGAGGTCCAAACCAAAACATTTACATTTTCAGCCTGGCACCAAAACCCTAATGGCCTAATCTGCAGCACCGAGGCCAACAGGTATTCAGGTATCCAATTCAGGGGCAGTCATACCAGTAACATGGAAATTTTAAGCAGCCAAGTCTGGGCATGCTGGCTTATATTTCTAATATAGACTGCTAACTTAAAAGATCTTCTGAATTAAGGCTTTGCAATTTCTGTTGCTGTCATTTTCTCCACAGATCTCCACCTGAGCAGTCACATCTAGGCTGTTCACACAAACCCACAAGCCATTTACATGTTTTAAGGTCAGGCCGATGAAAGAAGGCCGCAAGTCCTACATGACGGCAGCAGGGTCAGGACACAAATATGAATTGGGCTCATCAACCCACCGCTGCTTCATTCCCACCAGCAGCACACAGGAACCACCGTGTGGTGGGACCCGCCCCAACTTCTGTCTCATCTCAGGAAGTCCTGGGTTTTTACGGGTTAATGGGTGAGCTGAGAATAGAGAGCCAGGAAGAGTTTGGTGTTGGTCTTGCCAAGATAAGCTGCATTTGGATCCTCCTTCTCACCTGAGCCCATTCTGCACCACCCGGTTCCTACAGGTTCGCCAGCACGAGCACGCGTGATTACACTCAAAGATCAGTGGTGGCTCAGCCATGTTGAATTCAGGCAGGAGTCGGCCATCCTGAAGAGGAGAGGCATTCAAGACTGGGTTAGTTGTCTGTTCCTGTGACCCCTCCAAACCAGAGGCAGGCCACGAGCAAAAATTCCTCCCTGTGTAAAAACAGGCCAGAGAACCCCAACGTGGAGGCGTGTCCCGACCTCCCCAAAACCAGCGTCAGACCTCACCTTCTGCAGTGGTTTTGCTCTACCCCGACAGTGGGACACTCGCCACTGTCACCAACAGCTGACAAACAGCAAGAGACCATCTAGATTTTTGCTGCCTGGCATCACCCTAAACACCACCAAAACAAAACTCCTTACAGTATTGTGCAAACAAACGGTGTGCATCGTCATGATTATCATTTTGCAGTGCTGGAGAGGAGACACGGATGCTTAGTCTGTCTCTGGAATAAAGCCTAAACTTCCAGAGTACAAGGCCAGAACACCCAAGTTCTGTGAACCACATTAACTTCCCAAATAACACTCCCCAAAAAGCTACAATTCAATTATTTACCAACCATGTAGGATTAAGGAAGCGATAGACACAGTTCATCACATTTAACCAATTTGGCTTTTAAGGTCTAAAAGATGTAATCACCTATTAACGTGTAAATAAAATGGCTACAAAGCGAAGAAAGATGCTAATATTCCCCCTGGGAAAAACTCGTGGAGATTCACAGAACTTCTGATCTTAGCAGAACCTGTCCAAATATTAACCTCAAAAGCTCCCTGGAGGACTGAAGCATACCTACCCAAAACAAACCAGGCTTCTGGCAATGTTGCAGTTAAAACATCTTTACTTTGCCTTCATCCGGAAAGATCACAATAAATAAAAGCAGGCAAAAGATCTCTCTACTACCCTCCCCTTGTTTACATATTACAGCATTTTCTATGTTGCTCCGAAATGGAAGCTGATTTCACGCATGGATTATTAAATGCTCTCTATCATATGGGTATAATTAATGGCTCAGTTGGCGTGACAGTAACACAAATAAGCAACACTTGAAAAGCTTCCCTTAGTATGCGTTTTGTTACTATCACATACATTTCAAAGCTGCGACTACAATTTTAGGCATTTAAAAAAAAAGAAAAAAAGAGAGGAGTTGTGCAAGGAATTGTTTTGAAGGTACTGTTATAAACCCTGAATTGTGCAAAGTTCAGCTTGCAAACGCTGGAGGTTCTGTGTCCTCACCTTATCATACCAGCAGCGCATACTGAGTTGGCCACACATGCAGTTACTGGAGGAGCAGTCGTCTATACACACGCAATACTGGAAGAGAAGAAAGGCGGTTAACTCCACGCCCCTCACACATAACTGAAAGAGCAACTTCTGTGACCAGGTCAGAAAGGAAACCACAAGGCTTCGCCTTCTCCTGCTGCAGCTCATTAGCCAGAAAGATAACCACCCACACCGCTTCAGTGGCGTTTTTATTCCATTACTTATTTCTGTGTGCAATGAACGTCAAAAGACTCTGGCTTGAAGGACAGGATCTTACACTGAGCCATCTTCGTTTCTCATGGGAGGATGTCCTCCTGTGTTACTAACCTCCCTCCATGCCCTACGAGCTGTACTCCACACTTGAGGACAAGGAAAGATCCAAGCAGAGACCAGAGCTGGGAGATGATGCAACGTGATGTCTCAGCCCTCCCCTGCTGCTTGCTTCTTCCCACACGGGTGCTCCAGCTGGCCGCTTCCCCAAGCCAACACAGTCCCACCACCGGCTGCTGCACAACAGCGCTTGGACATGGGAAGTTCGCTCCAGCCACCTGAGAGCTGTGCCCACAGAGGGATCCCCCTCACCCTACACCTCCCTGCCTCTGCTTTCACAACCCAGCCCTTCAAGGACTTCCAGTATGA